TCAATAATAATGTAATAAGTATGTGTGGTGCCAGGTGATACTAGACATATTGGGGCCATAACTTTGTAGATTATATAAGTATCTGACCATAATGCTGTATACCTGGAACTAATGTAAAATAATAAATGTCAACTGTAATTGAAAAATTTAAAAGTAAAAGAGAAGCCACAAACGGAGAACATACAGTTGATCATTCAACAGTGTGAGGGTTAGGAGCAGATAACTTTTGATTCCCTCAAAACTTAGTTGTCTTTTGGTATACAGGACCATCCAACTGCAGGTCCAAAACAGTATAGGTATTTATTGGGGGGGGGAAAATCGACATGTAAGTGGACCTGCAGAGTTCAAACCTGGTTGTTTAGGGGTCAACTATTGCAAATTATGTGTCCAAGGATGCATATCCAGAACATATAAAGAACTCTCTAAACTTAACAGTAGGAAATCAAACAGTCCATTACAAAATGAGCAAAACACTTGAACAGACACTTCACCAAAAGAATATACATACATATACCCATGGCAGATAGGTACATGAAAAGGTGTTTAATGTTATTATCCATTCAGAGAAACCCGAAATTAAAGCCCTGATGAGATATTACGCACCTACTAGAATGACTAAAATAAAAAGTACTGTCTTTAAGTGTTGATTGGATGTGGGGGCAGCTAGATTGTTCATGCATTTCTGGTGGGAATGCAAAGTGTTAACAGCCACTGTAGGAAAGAGTTTACCAGTTTCTTATGACATTAAAGATGCAGTTACCATATCCTCCTTTTGGATATTTACCCTAAAGAAATGAAAGCTTATTTTCACACAAAAATCTATAGAGGTTCATAGTAAATAGCTTTATTCGTAATGACCAAAACAATAGATGAATGGATAACAAACTATATTCATGCAACAATAATATTCAGTAAAAATAAGAATAAACTCTTGATATGCCACTGGTGTGGAGGATCCTAAGGGCATTGTATCTAGTGAAAAAGGCAGTCTCAAAAGATTTCATATTACGTGATTTTGTTTATGTAACATTTTTAATTGAAATACTTGATTGACAAGGGTAGGGTTGGCAGAAGTACATGGTTATATAAAGAGAGCATGAAGGATTCTTTTTGGAGTGATGAAACAATTCTGTATCCCAATTGTGGTAGGGGTTACATTAGTATATGTATGTGATAAATTTACACAGAACCATGTACACAACACACATAAAAACTGAAAATCTGAATAAAGTTTGGTTATAGTATTGTACCAATATCAGCTTTTCATTTTGATAATGGTACTGTAGTTATGCCAAATGCTGTCAAGGGGTGAAGAATACCCAGGAAGTCTGTACTATATTTGTAACCTGTACATGAATCTAAAATTATATCAAAGTAAAAAAGTTGTTTTGTTTTTAATGACACTGCTAAGAAAACAGAAAGGCAAGCCCCCAAGTGGGAGAAAATTCTTGCCAAATATACATCTGATAAAGGATGTATATTTAGGGTATATAAATATTATAATTCAATAACAAGAAGACAGTATGGGCAAGAGAATTATTTACTTTACCAAAAAATGTGAATAACATATAAGCCCACAAAAGATGCTCAGCATCATTAGTTATTAGCAAATGCAAATATAAACCACAGTGAAATACTAATATACCCCAACTAGTATAGGTAAAATTATATGGCAATCACAAGAATGTGAAGCAACTGGAACTCTCATGCATTACTGATAGGAATAAAAAATGATATGGCCACTTTGGAAAACATTCGACAGTTTCTTACAAAGTGAAACATAGGACTCAGATATCCCACTCCTAGGTATTTACCCAAGATGAGAGATAAAAATGTGTGAATGTTTATATTAGCATCATTGATAATAACCACAAAACTGGCAACAATCCACATGTCCAAATGGTATATCCACACAATGGAATACTCTCAGTGATAAAGAGGAATGCAGCATAGGTGAATCTTAAAAGCATTAGGGCAAGTGAAAGAAGCCAAATGAAAAAATTACATGCTGTATGGTATTATGTAAATGAAGATCTGGAAAAAGCACAATTAAGCAGTTCATTGGTTGCCAGGGACAGGTTAGTGATAGAAGACAGAGATTGACCATTCAGGGAACTTTTTGCAGTAATAGACTGTTTGGGGTTTGTTTTTTTTTTTTGCAGTAGTCGATGTATTCTACATCACGATTTTGATGGTTACTACAGGGTTGTATACATTTACTGAAACTCATTCATTGTATGGTTAAAAGTTGGTGAATTTTTTCGAGCCTTCACATCTGTTGTTTCTTATGCCCAAAAGGCTCCTTTCTCTTCCTTCTGGTTAACTTTTATTCAGTGTTCTGCTTCTGTTCAAACATTACATCATTAGGGGTAAGAACCTTTTCCTGAGCTCACTGCTTCCTTTTTTTGTTCATTGCTCTTATCAAGCCATTTTGTCTAAATGCAGGCTCTGTGAGGGTCCAGATACTGATTCCTATTGTGTTCACAGTACATAGCATAGAGCTTGACTCAGGTACTCCAATAAACATACCACTGAGCTTGAGTTGAATTCTCCATCTCTTGGGAGCTGTGGCTTCTAAGGAGGGTACTGTGGCTGGGGCTGCTCACTTAACCTTGGGTCCTGTGTCTGCTGCCTCCACACTGTCCTACGCAGCTGCTGTCACAGTTCTGTCCAGACTTCTCCATGGATCCCTTCTCTTGTTGATAGGCCACCCTTTTCTGAGAATGGAGAGAAGCCTTTCCTTGCTATTGTTATTCCTTTAGCAGAAAGGGAAACCTGCCCTGACTGGTGTGGCTTGGTTGGGTGTCATTCCACAAGGTGAAAGAATACCATGTTCACACATGACTGGGTTGCAGATTCAGTCCCTGGTCAGGACTCATGCAAGAGGCAACCAATCCATGTTTGTCTCTCACATTGATGTTTCTCTCCCTCTCTTTCTTCATCCCTTCCCCTCTCTACATCCCTTCCCCTCTCTCTAAAAATAAATAGATAGATAAATAGATTTAAAAATGCTTTTAAAATTAAACAATTTCTTAAAAAAAGAAAGGGAAACCTGTCCTGTGTATGATCCCGAATCTACTATGCTTTTTCTTTGATTTCCAGCAAGTTGAGAAACTGCAACAGAGCCTTTCTCTTCCCTGTTTTGCTAACAGTAAGTAAATTCCTGTAAAGCACCAAGGGTACCTCCTCTTTCTCTCCTGATCCTTAATCTTAGTAAGGAGAGGAATGCAAGTCTTCTGTGTAAGCTTAGAATATCTTATCTGCAGACACAATTGACTACTTGAGGTGCACACACCTGTCAGTTCTATGCTCCACCCCATTATTACTGTCTCTAAACCCTGGGCAGACCCAGTTTCCAGAGTAAATATGTAGAAAAGTTGATGAACGGCGTGACAGTCAGTACTTTCCTCCATTCCTTTCCATTTCTTTTCCTCCCTAGTTCCCTACTCTGGTAGGCAAGGAGGGAATTCAAGTTAAGGTACAAAATTGGCCTGAATTACCAGTACCTGTACTGGTTCATCCTGTGAGCATAGCTGAGTGTCTAAATCATTACCAAACTCTTTAAGCCTGTGGTTTGTCTGCTTAGGCAAAATTTATGAGACTTGTCATTTGACACTCCTCTCTGGAATATTACAAGACTAGTTTAGTTATTGATTTTGAAAATGTTTTCTCTGGGCCTTTCTTTAATTTATCTAACTCTTCCATTGCTTTCAACTTACTTACTTTCTTTTATAAGGTTTATATTGTTTGGACATTTTTGTTTGGTTTTTGTTTATTTTTAATTCCATCACACCTAAGAACCCTCATTAGTTAAAATGTTCTCTTTCATCTGGATTACTGCAGTAGCACACTAGTTTTCCTCGTGCAACTCTCTTGCTTTCCACCTCCTAGTGACTTCCACCCTTTTCTGATAATTCATCTGTTAGAATTCAGGTCATGAGCCTCTTCATGGTAGTCACTTTATATTTGTTGGATTAATTCTTTGTCTTGTAACTCTTACCAGGATGTTATTTTTTTTGTTGGCATTGTCTAACAACTGCATGCACACACACACAGTAATTCTTTAGACCTAACTGGTTTCTTAGTTTATTGTTGTATGCGGGGAGTAGGGATGGAACTATGTTGTGATATGTCTTTTGTAATAGGCCACTTTTGTCTAATAAGAATAGATAATAGTTTTATTAATAACCAATATTCAAGTGGGTAGAAAAAGACTACCTTGGTTTTTAATCAGACAAGTAGCAATAAAGAACTATGGTCAGAACTTAGGTCATGCTTTTGATGCCCCGAACAGTTCAGAACAGTATTGTTTTGTTTTATATCCTAATATGCTAAATGCTTCTCATTCTCTCATATTTTCTCATTTTTAAAATAATATTGCATCTTCTTATTTTTCTACCTCTTTCAGCCATTATAACTTCAACACATGCATTACTCCCAGATGTTGCTGTTGGGGGTTAAAGGGCTCTGTGTTGCTCTGTGTTTCTTAGATAGGAGTGATATGTATTAACCAACTTACTAGGATATAAATTTGTTGTTCCTCCCATATCACTCTTGTGAGTTATTTTCAAATGAAAGTTTGTCAATTTCTTACAAAAATTAAGGTTTCAATACTCTATAATAAACACACAAAAAGGACTGGTATTAAATTTTATACTGTGGAATTGACCTTGAAAATATGTTTAGTTATAATTATTTGCTATTTTTTCCAGTTATCCGGTAAGTTAAGACATGTATGCGTTTTAATACCAGTGACTTCTAGATTGGAGAAACTGTCTATTCTAGTAAAAGTTTTGTTTTTTAAACTATCAATTGTTTCCTTCAATATAGCAGATGCTAACGAGGCTCTGATATTTTTTTCTAATTGCTTTTTTTTAAGGAAGCAGCCCTTTTAATGTGATCTAACAGTCGGTATTCCTATTAGTGAACTGAGTGAGAACTTGAATTTTAAGATTACACAAATTCATTTTGTTAACAATACCTTTTGTTCCATTTTGCAGCTTCTCAGTGAATTTTTGGATGAAGCCATTAAATTAATTGCTTGCCATCATGAGCAGAAGTAAGCGGGACAGCAATTTTTATAGTGTAGAGATTGGAGATTCTACATTCACAGTCCTGAAACGATATCAGAATTTAAAACCTATAGGCTCAGGAGCTCAAGGAATAGTATGGTAAGTTTTTGCTTCCAAAAATTAGGCAAAGAATCATTAACTGCTACTATTTTCTCCTTTTGTAAAAGAGATACTTTGGTGTAAATATTTAATTTTTTCCCCCCAAAATTAATTAAAACTATAAAATTTAAAGCTATAACACAGTAAGTTTTAATGAGGGATTAATGGTCTTTTTTTATTATTCATAAAACATAACTGTAAATCACTGCCATCATTAAGTATAAATCATGATTAAATACTAGGCTATAAACTGTGTAGAGACAAATATCTGTATCAGAAAAGAAGAAATGGGATGCTTGTTAATTCCATGTATACGTCTATTCCAGTAGTTGATTGTTTAATAAGAAGATTCACTTAATCATCACTTTCACACTATAATGAAACTGAAATTTCAGAAATCTTATTTTACACTAGGGAATGAAGTCAGCTATATCATCTAACTCTGTGTGCTTCAAACTCTTATGTATTTTTAAAATTGATTTACCAGTTAAGTTCTACAAAAGGTCTAGACTTCATATATCAGCGTAATTCCTTATAAACAAAGGCAAAACACTTTGGGGGACAGTTCAGCTAATGATTTTAGATCACTAAGTTAGCATAATAAGCTAGTGTTTGGGGAAATTTTCTAAGCCTCACTCAAGGCACAATTATATCTTTATTACCTATTCTTGAACCAGATGTGTTTCAGAATCTATTAAAAAATTATGTGCTTATGACTGCAGTTCTCCCAGTTCTAGAACAACTCTTGCACATGTACACAAAAAAAAATACATGGGGCTGTTCTCTGCAGCACCATTTATAAAGCAGCGTCAAATCAATCAATAGGAGAATTTTTTAAATGTCATATATTTGTACAGTGAAATATTATACAACATTTTAAATGAACTAGAGCTATATGTATCAAAAAATACACTCTCTTTTCTGTATTCTTGAAGTAATATATAATGTCAGAAATTATAGAAATTGAATAATTTTATAATGCATTTTTGGCTCGCTGGTTGTCATTTGAACCAACTACAGTTAATCGACTACAAATTAAAAATAAAATAATGTGGTAAAATCAATATAGGAAAGATACAGAAAGCCAGCTCTTGGTTTAGATTCTGGCTCTCTGATTTAATAACTTTGTATCTAATGGCAAATTAATACCTCTAAACCTGTTTTGTGTTTTTTTTTTTTTTGAATAGTTGATTTAAACTTTTTTTTAATTATATTTTTCCATTGCCATTTAGTCCACTTATATCCTCCTTCCCCCTGCAATCACCACACTGTTGTCCACGTCCATAAGTCTTTTTATTTTTTGCTCAGTCCCTCCACCCCCTACCACCCCCGTCTTAGCTGTCATATACTCTCTATCTGTGAGTCTGTCTCTGTTTCGCTTGTTAGTTCAATTTGTTCATTAGATTCCACATATGAGTGAAATCATACGGTGTTTGTCTTTCTCTGACTGGCTTAGTTTCACTTAGCATAATGTTCTCCAGGTCCATTCATGCTGTCACAAAGGGTAAAACTTTGTTCTTTTTCACAGCCGAGTAGTATTCCATTGTGTAAATGTCCTGTTGTTGTTTTATCCACTCTACTAATGGATATTTGGGCTGCCTGTTTTCTCACCTAATTTATAGGGTTGTTGTGAGAAGTATTTTATTTATAAATTACTTAATCTTGTTTGAATATATATTAATGTTTCTGTACCTTCACTTACGCTTGGGTAAGTGTAATTTGAAATTTGTGTAACAGAGTTTTTTAAAAATTGCCTTGGAAGGGACCTTAAGCCATCTGAGCAGCCCCCATCCTAAAGGATAAATATCTTCAAAGTTTTGTTTACTCTTTAATAAAAGATTACTGTGAAACACATATTAAATAAGTTTCAACTCACTGCTGTGTTACTATCAGAATCAACTGAAGAACTTAATTTATTTTTTTTAAAGGCATTATTTTGGGCTCAAGTCACAGATAGTAAGATTCATTAGGTCTGGTTTGGGACCTCTCAATTCCCAGGTGTTTCTGATTGTGCACATTTACTAATCAAAAATTAGAAATATAATTCCCTTGTATATAAAAGTATAAACTACTCAGATATTTTTTAACTTTAGAGTTTGAAGTGTTATTTGATTTAGCAGAGAAAAAAATTAATAATGATTTAATGGTTAAAAATAAAATACAGTTTATCTGAAGAAGTCAAGACTTAAAACATTTTGCATTACCCCTAATGTTTGATTTTTTTTTTTAGTTTTTAATTTGGGAAAGACATATCTATAAATGTGGCATTTTCGAAGTAAAGATTATAGTACATATATTTTGGTATGTGTATGTACATGTAGGGTGGGGCAAAAGTAGGTTTACAGTTGTGAGTGCACAAAATATAGGGTTTATTCTTACATTATTATGTATCCCTGCAAACAACTATAAACCTGTTTCTCACCCACCCTGATATACACATAAGCAATAGTTACAATACATGTAGAATGTACAGATGTGTTCATTTATTCAGTACCAATTTCTTTGCACATATATTTCTGTAGTATATTTGATATAGTAAGACAGCTGTAAAACAGACTCAAGTTTCCACTTAGGTGAGAGAATAATTTTAATCAGTAATATGTTGACTTTTCAAATATTATATAAACAGAAATAGTCTTATAGTATGTTAGGTGGTCCAACATGAAGAGCATGACCTTGTATATTAGTCTTCTGGTCTTATCTTTGCTTTTAACTTTCTGGCTAACCTTGCACAAATTACTTAACTTCTGGCCTTATATTAGGGAGTGGTTAATCCAAGTGATTTTTAAAGTTTCTTTCAACTACAATATTCTATAATTTTAAGACACTTTACTGTTTTTGTGCTTTAGTTTCTCTGACCTGTCATATGTGTAACATGCCATTTGGTAAGTGTCATGGGAGAGGAAAATATAAAGAGTAATGAGTATGATGTTGTATTTCCCAGAATTATAGGCATTTTATTAATAGTTACAAAGCAGCTTCTGTCCTGAAATCTAGGATTCATCTTTATAAACACCTTCATTTTTAATACCCCCCTCTGAAACATATTTTAAGGTCTTTTTATATAAGAAGATAACCTTTTGTATAAATAACCTCTCTGTGTCCCTTCTTCTTTCTGTATTTATTTGGTGTCCAAAGAGCATGAAAGTGATACACTTAAATAGAATTCTTCAGCAAATATTTTGAGTAGAATTTATGGGCACATTTATTCTTCATTCTATTTTTTCTTGATGTAGGTGTAGGGTGAATGGTTCACTTAGGCTTTAAGCTATCTTTGGACCTGAATACTCATTAAAAATTTGTGCATTGAGTGCCTATGGATCTTGGAGGAACTCAATGAACAGGCAGAGTCTCTGTCTTCACAGTCATAGTCTATTTTCTCTTTGAATCCATTAGCATTTGAAGAAACAGTTAATGCTATGCATTATTTGGAACATACTGTAGTAAGTATAGAGAAACATTTGATCATCAAAGACTGGAAACAGATCCAGTTCTGTTTATCTTTGGAGAAAGTAAGGAATCTGAATGAATCTTTCACAAATTCAGTTTTGCAGATATTTTATTAAGCTTTTTGTTGTTTTTTAATTTCTTATTACAGTGCTGCTTATGATGCCATTCTTGAAAGAAATGTTGCAATCAAGAAGCTAAGCCGGCCATTTCAGAACCAAACTCATGCTAAGCGGGCTTACAGAGAGCTAGTTCTTATGAAATGTGTTAATCACAAAAATGTAAGTGAACATTTTAGAAAATTTCTTAAGTATAGATGAAGTATAGATTTGTTCATGAATACATGAATATCAAAAACTTTAAAAATATTAGGTGTTTTAAATTGTTGTTTTGGATTGAAACATTATTTAAATGGTTTATGTATCTACAGTGTGAATTTTTTCTCAACTTTATTAAATTATATTAAAAGAAAAACAGCTTCTGAAATTTAGATTGCGTGATTTTCTATTATTTTCAAAGGGACTTTGAAAGAGGTGGATGTTTTAGAAGAATGTTATTTAGGCATCATCTCATCTTTTACTTGTTTTCTGTCAGGCTGATGTTTTAGATGAGCCTTAGTGCAGAGGTTGTTCCTGTGATACTTCAGTACTCACTGGTCACTTTATGTGGAGAATAATCAGTGGTTTATAAAGCAGTTTAGCAGAAACTTTAAAAAGTACTTAAATTGGAATTAGCTATTTTCTAATGTATATAAGGACTTAACCACATAACTTTCATTCATTTTGAGAATAAATGGTTTTACTTTTTAAAGCTTACATTAAGTATAATTATTCTTTCATAACTATTTTAATAAAATGATAGCTCCATGTTGAGAGGAAAATAAACTGGGAATGAATTGTGCAAGGGACATTTTTATGAACTATCAAACCAAAAGATGTTTTGTGGTTTTTGTCAAAAGGAGTGTATAAAATATCATCAGCTCAATACTTTCTGATTGCAGATGACACAATTTACCACATTTTCAAAATTAACTATGTACGAGCCTCTGTATATTGGAGTTACTAGATTAGTCACTAAGGGGAACGTTTTATGGAAGTTAGGGACTAGGCTCCTTATCTGGGGAGTTTACAATGTCATTTGGAAGATAAAACATATATATAAAGAGTTAAAGACCAAACATAATAAAGTTTAATAGAAGTTTAATTGTCAAATCATGGTGGATGAAAAATAAGTGCTTTGATTTCAAGAGAGAAAAGATTCCTATAAACCTTAATGAAATGAAAAAGCTTTGAAGAAGGGTGGACGTAGACTAATTCTTAAATAATGGGGTAAAAATTGGATTGTTGGAGGAAGGAGACCTCCCAGAACTTAACAAAAAGACATAGATAAAGATTCAAGTCAGTCAGTGATGAGGTTGTGTTGGCCAATCTTTTTCTAGGTGGGAGCCAGGCATATTGCTTGTCAGGTTTTGTTGGTGGCCTCCCGCACTCGGATAGAGCTGCTTGTGCCCTTTGCAGCCTCTTTCATGGTAATGGTAGTGGTGGCAGTATTGCCTTAGTTTCACATGGAAGAGATGGCAAATGACTCACACTTCCTGAGCCTGGGCAGCTGCACAGAAAGATGGCTCCATCAACTAAACCGAGGCCATGGAAAATTTGTTTCACAGTCCTCTAGTGGGAGTGGCACAGACCCATCCAGGCGCTACCCTTCCCACCTAGAACAGTGCTGGCACAGAGTAGGCGCTCAACACATTTATTTGTTCAGTAAACAAATGTAAAAGTAAATATTTTCACTCTGTAATGGGTGGGTGGTTTTGTGATGTCTTGCCTTTCCAACATTTTCATGTTCGCACAAATCATTTCTTTATTGGTCTAAACATCTCTGCCCTTTTTCTTCATTATGGTAAAATACACATAACATAAAACCTAGTATCTTAATCATTTTTAAGTGATATTAAATATATTCATATGATTAAAGTGCATTTCCAACACTTTTCATAGATGAGTTTCTTTTTTGACTTGGTCACTTACCTTTGAACACACTTTAATATGTCACTTAGAACACAGTACTGCATGTCTGATTGAATCTTCCTGGAGAAGCTAAGATATGTCATTTTCCATTTTATTTTAACTGTGGGCATTATAATCCCAGTTGGAAATCAGGCCACCATTTGACTTAAATTGTGTAAGCAAATTATTCTTTGTTGCAGGCCTGCTAACAGGTGACATCTCTCGCATCCTTCTTTTTTGTTGTTGTTTTGTTTTGGAGAATAAGTATAGGACTTCCTGTTTCTCCCTATTAAATTTTATATGTGAAAATTGGTTCCTCTTCCTGGACTGTTGGGGATTGCTTTGTCCTTCTTTGTTCTGACATTTCACTGTTGACTTTTCTTTCCAATTCTACTCAGGATGCCTTCTTAATAGCTGGATTAGTTCACTAGCAACCTTTGGCTCTACTGTGAAAATTACATGTCTAATTAAAAGCTATCTAGCTCTCCCCAGTTCTTCATCTTATTCACATGGAGATTACTATTAGAGACATTTTTTTTAAATGCCTTTTTGATATCTTCATAGATCTGGTTGCATTTCTCTGATTTACTAATATTGTCCTTTGTTGTTGTTTTTATTCACAAAAGAAAAAGTTTCTTGATGAATTTTTACCCGTTCCTGCTCCTAGTAATTGTTAATTCTTTCACAGTAGTCATATACGACCCACTTAATGAGTTCTTGACTTTTGTTTGGCTCTAGTTTATAACTGATACAATTTCCTTTCTGAAAAACCAGGCAGCTCTTTCAGTCTTTTTTTAACAGCTTTATTGAGATACAGTCTATATAACGTACTACTCATCCCTTTCATCTGAGCAATTCAGTGCTTTTCCATTTATTCACTGATGTGTATGACTTTTTCCATCACCTCAAAAAGCAAACCTATATCCTTTAGTGCTCATTTCCCCATCTCCACCCCTCTCAGCCGGACTCCCTTCTGTCTCCGTATTTCTTTCATGTTTAACACCTCTATTCTACTCTAGGACTTCCCATATATTAATAAGAACAGTTTTAGTATTTCCCCAAGTCTTAATGTGTGCAGTTCAACTGGTTAGGAGACCTGAATTCCTTTAGAGCAATAAATGTTTATTGTCACTTCCCCTATCTTACACAAATATGTTTTACCTTTCTGGTCTGAACTTTCTAAATTTATTTACTGAACAAATATTTGAATATATTCTATAAGCAAAGTTTTATGCTTAGATGAATAACATAGATTCTGTCCTAATGAAGTTTATACCTAAAAGAACATTCCCATCCTTAAGTATAATTGTCAGCAAACATTTTAAAAATATGTGTCATATCTTTCTCTGTGCCAAAGCTATAAAGGGAATAAGATACAGCTCTTTTTAATAGGGATCTTGATGTGATTGGGACAAAGCTGTTGTGAAAATGAGACTAAACTACAATGTGTTAACTACCATAATAACATACAAGATGCTGTGGGGACAAAGTAGAGAGAATATTCAGCTCTGCCAAGGACTAGGGGTTGTCAGACTCTACAAAAGAGGTCTATCTTGAAGGTAACTAAGTTCAGTAGGTAAATGACAGTCATATGAAACTGTATGTTGAAAGGCATTGAGGTTTTTAAAAATTTAAATTTAGTATGGCCAAAGTATCAAGGTTAATAGAGGGCTAGCAAGAGATGAAATGGGTTGAAGTCTTCTCATTGAGAGCATTGAATGTTCTGCAAGGGAGTTTTAGGATTTGTTAGCATTAAGTTTTTGAGGAGGTAATATGATCAAATCTTTCTTTTACAGGCAGTAAAATGGTAGGTAGCCTTACAGAAAACTATTATAAGGGAACCTAGTTTTAGAAGTCACTATGTGAATTACGATATTAGAATCCTTGACCTGTATAGTAACATGGGGAATGAAGAGGTTGAAGTTCAGATTGAGAATACAATGGATAACGTTCTTTAAAATACTTACTACAGTGCAAATATTGAAAAAAGAGTAAAAAATGAAATCAGTCTGAGCTTTCTGTTATAAAAGAGAAGGCACTCTGGAATGGTAAGGCGTTCAGATACAAGTAATGCCCTCCCACACACACACAGTCTCTGCCATTATCAGCATCCCCCGCCAGAGGTACATTTGTTACAATCAATAATCATGCACTAACACATCCATGTCACCCAAAGTCCATAGTTTACATTAGGGTTCGCTCTTGGTGGTGTGCATTCTATGGGTTTGGACAAATATGCAATGAGGTATCTACCATTATTGTATCACGCAGAGTGTTTTCTCTGCCCTAAAGATCCTCTGTGCTCTGGTTCCCTCCTGACCCCTATCCCTAGCCATAAAGTTTTAATACATAAAAGATTACTTGAGCTTAGAAAATAAGATTTTAAAATTTTTAAAAATGTTAAAACTTTTAAACTGATTAGAGACTTTTTTAACCCATGTATTTGCAGTTTCTAAATGAAACTATTATCAAGCAGTTTCTAATTTTTTAATTTCTCTGCTTTTGCCACAGATAATTGGCCTTCTGAATGTTTTTACACCACAGAAATCTTTAGAAGAATTTCAAGATGTGTAAGTGTCATAATTAAAATTTTATGTTAATACCTTATTCTTAGATTATTGCTGTATATTTTAGCTGTCATCTTTTTTCACCCATGAAGTTACATAGTCATGGAGCTTATGGATGCAAATCTTTGCCAAGTGATTCAGATGGAACTAGATCATGAAAGAATGTCCTACCTTCTCTATCAGATGCTGTGTGGAATCAAGCACCTTCACTCTGCTGGAATTATTCATCGGGTTAGTAGAAAAAAACTATCATCATAATTTCTTTTTTAATCATTGAGGTGAAATTCATGTAACATAAAATTAACCATTTTAAAGTGTACAAGTCAGTGACATTTAGTACATTCACAAAATGTGCAGCCACCACTAATATCAAATTTCAAAATATTCTCATTTTTCCAAAAGAAAACCTCACACCCATTAGGCAGTCACTGCTCATTCCCTCTTACCCCAGCTCCTGGCATTGTACCAGTCTGTTTTCTGTGTCTATGGACTTACCTCTTCTGGATTTTATATACTTGGAATCATACGATATGTGAACTTTGTGATTGGCTTCTTTAACTTAACATAATGTTTTCAAGTTTGTCCATGTTGGAGCATGGGCCATTTCTAAATTTTAGCTTTGTGTTTAATGCTGCTATGAACGTTCATGTACAAGTACTTGTTTGAGTTCCTATTTTCAATTCTTTGGGCTATCTACCTAGGAGTGGAATTTCTGGTTGATATGGTAATTCTATATTTAACTTTCTAAGGAACCACTAAACTGTTTTCTACAGTGGCTACACCATTTTCCATTCCTAGCAACAATTTATGACTGGGAATCCAATTTCTCTAAATTCCTGTCAATATTTACAGACTTTTTTACTGTAGCTATCTTAGTGAATATTAAGTGATATCTCCTTGTTGTCTTGATTCGCATTTTCCTAGTGACTAATGATGTTGAGCATCTTTTCATATGCTTGTTTGGCTATATGCATTATCTTTTGAGGGGAAGTTTCTGTTCAAGCCCTTGGCCCATTTTTTAATTAGGCTGTTTGCCTTTTTATTGTTAAGTTATAGTATTCTGTATATATTTCAGGTACTAGACCCTTATCAGATATGGATTTGTAAATATTTTCTCCCATTTTATGTGTTGTCTTTTCACTTTCTTGAAATCCTTTGCGCAGAAGTTTAATTTTCTTGAAATTCAGTTTATTTTTTTCTTTGGTTTTGCTTATTCTTTTGGTGTCATATATAAGAACTCATTGTCAAATCCAGTAAGATTCAAACTTATACCCTAGCTGGTGTGGCTCGGCTGGTTGGGCATCATCCTGTGAACTGAAATGTCACTGGTTCAGTTCCTGCTCAGGGCACATCCCTAGGTTGGAGGTTCGGTCCCCTGAGGTGCATACAGAAGGCAACCAATGTTTCTCTCTCACATCAGTGTTTCTCACCCTGTCTGCCTCCCTTCCCCTCTCTCTAAAATCAAAATATTTTTTGGAAAAAGATTTAGAGTTATGTTTTCTCAGGGTTTTATGGTTTTAGCTTATATGTTTACGTCTTTGACTCATTTTGAGTTAACTTTTGTGTATGGTATGAGGTAAGGGCCCAACTTCTTTTGCTTGTGGAAATCTAGTTGTTCCAGTACTCTTTTTATTAAAGAGACTATTGTTTCCCAATTGAATGTTCTTGGCCCCCTTTGAAAATTGACAATATATTGTTTTATTTCTGGACTCCTGGTTCCATTCATTGATCTGTGTGTCTGTCCTTATACCAGTACCACATTATTTTGATCACTGTAACTTTGTAGTAAGTTTTGAAATGGGGAGGTATGTGTGAGTCCTTCCACTTTTTTTTTTTTAACATCATTTTGACTATTCAGGGCCCCTTGTTATTTTGTATAAATCTGAGTGTCAGCTTTATCATTTCTACGGAGAATGCTAATGGAATTTCAGTAAGTATTTCATTCAGTGTGTAGTTTTGGTGGTTTTGCCACCTCAGCTCTGTTTAGTATTCCAACTCATGAACACAAGATGTCTTTTCATTTACTTAGATTATATTAGTCTCCCTGGGCTCCATAACAAAATACTGTAGACTAGATGACTTAAACAAGAGAAAGTTATTTTCTCCCAGTTTTGGAGGTTAGAAGTTCATAATCAGCAGAAAGGAAGGTGGGACTGATCTTCCTGGCTTGTGCCGGGGTGGGGGGGGAGGGTGCTGCCTGTGAGCAAGCTCTGGTATATTTAACAAAGACACCAGTCATTTTGGATTAGGGTCCCACCCTTATGACCTTGTTTAACCTTAATTACCTTCATAAGGGCCCTATATCCAAATATAGCCCCATTAGGGATTAGGGCTTCCACATAAGAATCTGGGGTGGAGAGACACACAGTGCACTCTATAACATAGATCTTGTTTAATTTCTTTCAGCAATGTTTTATACTTTACAATGTGCAAGTCTTGACCTCATTAGTTAAATTTTTTCCTAAGCATTTTATTCTTTTGGAAGCTATTACAAATGAAGTTATATTCTTAATTTTCTTTTAAGATTGTTCATTGCTAGTGTATAGAAACACTACTGATTTTTGTGTGTTGTTATGTCATGCAACTTTGCTCAATTTGTTCTAATTGGGTTGGGGGAATTTTTTTGAGTTTTCTCTTTGTAAGATCATCTCACTTGCACAGTAGTTTGACACCTTTCTTTCCAATGTAGATGCATCTTGTTTCTTTTTTTGTCTAGTTGCTGTCTAAAACTTTCAGTAAAATGTTGAATAGAAGTGGCTAAAGTGGATATCTTTGCTCCATTCTTGATCTTAGGAGAAAGGCTTCCTGTTTGTTTGTTTGTTTGTTTCTTTTTACCATTATGTGTGATAATTTAGCTGTGGGGTTTTCATAAATGCTCTTTATCTGTTTGAGGGAGTTGCATTTTGCTTTGGAGTTAGTAACATTGTACAGAGAGTATAGACCCACAAGACTGCCCTCACTTCAGATACCAACCACAAGGTTCCCAAGACTACCCTCGTCATATCGGCTTGCTGCAAATTTGGGGTCTCCACAACCACTCTCAATTTTAATAATTCTCTAGAATGGCTCACAGAGCTCCAAAAAGCACTGTACTTATGAACACTGTGTTGTTATAGCAAAAGAATCTGAGAGATGTCCAAACATGGAGATTTCACTCAATCATTCTCTCCTCACAAAGTTTAAAATAGGAAAGTTCACCCAAGCCTTGGGCAGCCAGAGTTTTTCTTGCAGTTGAGTCTCATACTACCTGCATGGTGGCTAGCCTTTAGTCTCCCACCTTTCCTTAGGTTTACACTAATACCTTTTTAGTTCTTCACATTGTTAGACTGTCCTGTGGCCAGAACTCCAGGCAAAGACACTGCTGTCAGGACATTCCAGCAGCCTGGAGATCACCTGTAACTGATAGGTAAAGCCAGACCTCTCTTTACATTAAGATGAATTTTTCTCCGCATACCTTCTCCTAGTTTAAGTGTTTTTATTATAAAAAGATGATGAATTTCATTAAATGCATTTCTGCATCCATTGATGCGATTATGTTTGTTTTTCCTTCAGTTAATGTACATTAAAATGATTGATTTTTGTATGATGAACCACTTGCATTTCTGGGATTAGATCCCACTTGGTCATAATATATAATCTGTTTAATATGCTATTGGGGTTATTTTGCTGAGAATTTTTACATCTGTGTTCATAAGTGGTATTGTTACATAGGTTTTTTTCCTCTTATGATGTCTCTATGAGTTTGGTGTCGAGGTAATGCTGGCCTCTAAGTGAATTAGGAAGTGTTCTTCACTCTTCTGTTTTTTGGAAGAGTTTGAGAAGGACCTGTGTTAATTCTTAATTGAACTACTGGTAGATTTTGCTACTAAAACCATCTTACCCTGAGCTTTCCTTTTCTTCTTCTTCTTCCTTCTTCTTCCTTCTTCCTTCTTCTTCTTCTTCTCCTTCTTCTTTCTTCTTCTTTCTTCTTTCTTCTTCTTTCTTCTTCTTCTTCTTCTTTCTTCTTCTTCTTCTTTCTTCTGCTTCTTTCTTCTTCTTCCTTCTTTCTTCTTCTTTCTTCTTCCTTCTTTCTTCTTCCTTCTTCCTTCTTTCTTCTTCTTTCTCCTTCCTTCTTTCTTCTTCTTCCTTTTTCTTCTTCTTCTTCCTTCTTTCTTTTCTTCTTCTTTCTTCTTCTTTCTTTTTTTCTTCTTCTTTTTGAGATTTTGATTATTCACTTTTCCTACTTGTTATATGTAGTTTTTTTTGTTTCTTGAGTCAGTGTTTCTAGGAACTTCATTTCATTTAATTCATCTGATTTATTGGTATATACTTGCTCATAGTATTCCTTTATAATCCTTTTGTTCCTGTAAAGTTGGTAGTAATATTCTCACTTTGATTTATGATTTTAGTTAATTGCTTCTCTCTCTCTTTCTCTCTTTTTTTTCTTCTTAGTCAAAGTAAAGGTTTGTAATTTTTTTGCTCTTTTTGAAGAACCAACCTCTGGTTTTGGTGATTTTCTTAGCTGAATTTCTGATCTCTATTTTTGTTAATCTCCGCTTTTATTCTTTATTATTTCCTGGCATCTTCGTGCTTTGAGATTAGTTTGCTCTTCTCTTTTAGTTTCTTAAGGTGGAATATTAGATTATCAATTTGAGGTGGTTTTTTTTTTTTTAATGTGGATGTTAACAATTACAAAATTGCCCCTGAACTCTACTTTTTAGGCATTCCCTAAATTTTGGTATATTGTATTTTTACTTTCATTCATCTCAAAGTATTATACCAGTTTTCCTTGTGTATTGTTCTTTGACCCATTGTTTGTTTAAGACTATATTGTTTAATTTCCACAAATTTGTGGATTTTTTTTTCCTTTTTCTTGATTTCTGGCTTCATTCTGTTGTGGTCAGAGAAGGTACTTTGTATGATTTTGGTTTTTAAAATTTATTGAGGTTTGTTCTATGGCCTAACATATAGTCTATACTGAAGACTGTCTGGTACGCACTTGAGAAAAATATATATTTTGCTGTTTTGGAGAGGGTATTTTATGTACGTCTATTATGTCTAATTGGTGTATAGTATTGTTCACATTCTGTATTTCCTTATTGATCTTCTGCCTACTTGTTTTGTTCATTAATGAAAGTGTAGAAATCTTCAATGGTTAGTATATAATTGCCTATTTCTCCCTTTATGTCAATTTTTGCTTCGTGTATTGTGGGATTTTGTGAGGTGCATATACATATATTCTTGATGAATTG